TTTTGCTCATGGTTTCAGTTTTCAGTCCATGGTTGGTTCACTCAAGGAAGAAACATCATGGCACAAAACCGCCTGGAAAAGGAAAGTTGCGGAACCTTTGGTATCCAGGAAGCAGAGAGGAAGGGGCCGGGGGCCAGATATAGTCCCCAAGGTCATGACCACATGACCCACCCAGACCCACCCAAAAGTTTGCTTTACTAACCTCCTAGGCATCCCTCAATCCAATCAAGTTGACAATCAAAATTAACCATCTCAAATGCCCAATAAATGGTAGCTAATCTCATAGAACTTACCTCATAGGGGTACTATGAACATTATTAGATAAGCAGTGAATACAAAGTGCATCTTAGTAGGCACTTTTGGAAGGCTTGTGACTATTACTGTGATAGTAACTGGGAGCCCAGTGTGTAGGACTTAATCATTGTTTAGCAAGACAAGCTGCCAGTAACTTTGGGTCCATGTGACTATGGAGTCTCCTTGGAGTGAATGATCTTTGACTTTCCCCAGAACTTTAGAGTACTTCCGTTTAAGTACACATGTGTAAGGGGAACAGGTATCCATTGTCCTGGGGTAATGGTTTAACAGGAAGTTCTGTAGCTCAGAAAACCTGCTGTTCCCAATATCTCCTTAGTAGGGGGAGGAGAAAATAAATTTGGACTTAGTAGGGGAAGGATTCTTGTCTTCAGCTATTCCTACATGTGTAACAAAATGGAATAGCTCCCTCTTATCTGTGGATTCAGTTACCTACAGTTTCAGTTACCTGTACTCAACGGTTCTAAAAATATTCCATGGAAAATTTCAGAAATAAACAATTCTGAAGTTTTAAATTGCGCACCATTTTGAGTAATGTGACAAGACCTTGCACTAGCTACCCGTGAATCACCCCTTTGTCTTGCGATCCCTGATGTATGTTCTGCATGCCTATTTGTCACTCGGTGGCTGACTTGACTATCAGGTTGGTGCGTGTGGTTGGTGTGCTCAGGTGACCCTTATTTTACTTAATGGCCCCAAAGTGCAATAGTAGTGATGTTGATGATTTCATGGCAATTATTGTTATAATTGTTCTATTTTATTGGTAGTATTTGCTACAATTCTCTTATTGTGCCTAATTATAAATTAAATGTAATCATGTTTAATTACATAGTAATTTAAAACATAGTATATAAAGAGTTTGGTACTGTCTTTAAAAAAAAACACAGAGTATATACTTATAGGGTTTGTACTATCTGTAGGGTTTGTACTATCTGGCATTTACTGAGGGGTTTTGGAACATATTCCCTACGGATAAGAGATGAGTATTCTACCTCAGACTGGGTAATTTATAAACAATTGAAATTTATTTCTCACAATTCTGGAGGCTGAGTAATATAAGATCAAGATGTTAGCAAATTGTGTCAACCATGTACAGATTTATTCATCTCCTTTTCTTTTTTTTTCTTTCATAGATTAATTTGGTAGAATGGAGAATTTCTGAATATTAGGCCCCATGGCTTAGTTTAATTTATAGGGGTAAAGAGAGCTGACCTTCATCTAATTATGTCTTTTGCCAAAAGGCTATTAAGGACTGAATGTGTATGCCCACACCTCATTTGTTTGTTGAAATCCTTACCCCAATATGTTGGCATTTGGAGGTAGGACCTTTAGGAGGAGATTAAATTGTTACAGTACAGCCCTCCTGAACAGGATTAGCACCTCTATAAAAAGGACCCCAGTGAGCTTTCTGGCCCTCCTTCTGTCATATGAGGACAGGGTGACAAGGTCTGCCCTGATGTTGGACTTCCCACCTCCTAAACTATGAGACATAAATATTTGTCATTTGAGCCACCCAGGATATGGCATTCTTTTACAGCAACTGGTCAAACATGAATCCTCCCCTTTTGGATTTTTAACAGGCGGGAGGGGGCCAACCTCCAACCTGATCCCTGTTCCTCCTACTTCTACAACAGCTATCCTTGTGTAAACACAGCACCTGGGTGACTGGCACAGACACAACCCCGCCCTTGTACTGCCTACACTCTTGAGTGTTGAAAAGAGTCGTGCAAAGAAAGCAAATTAGTTGAGCTCCACCTAAGTGTGTAGAAAACAGAGGCCATAACTGGGCAACAGAGGCAGCTTTGGGTGGAATTCTGCATGGTGCAATGGCTGTGTGCTCTTGGAGATGTTACTCCACGTCTCTGAGCCTTGAGTTCCATGAAGGTAAAGTGGGAATGACAGTGAATGCGCCTCCCAGGACTGTTGGGAGTCCTCAGTGAGGAGTTGCTCCCCTGCAATGGCCACTCTAAGGCTGTACCCATTATCCTGAAAGCCAGGAGGAAGCTTCTGGGGCTGGAGATATTTATTTCCCAGACTCCCTGACACCTCTGCACCCCACCCCCACCCCCACCCCCACCCCCACCCCCCATCATCTGCATTTCTCTGTAACTGCGTCAGGCTCGTTCCAACAGACGTTTCTTGGATCTGGGACACTATCTTTAAACAGTTTACAACCTCAAGCTGCTTTTTAGGAGTGGTCCCAGCAAAGACTCCTAGAAGGAGCCATCTCCTTCCTTCAAGATTTACAGAGGAGGAAGGCTCAGCTAACAGCAGTTAAAAGCAGCACTGCAGTGCTTGATTCTCTCCCCTCAGGGCCCTTAGGCCTCAAGTCCCAGGAACAGTTGTAGAGAAGCGGAAGACAATCTTCCCCTTGTTCATCTCCCTGGCAGACAGAGTTCTAAAGGTTGGATTTGACCTGGCACCTTCAAGGCTTTCCGAATCTGTTTAAGGACATCCGAGAGGATTGAAAAGTATTTCCCCTCTCCCTCTTCCTTGTTTCCACTCCTCTTCCCTGCCCATGCCATCCTTCTGTCCTCTTCTGTTCTCAACTCCTAGTGCCAATAGTTTTTTCAGATTACCCTGGTGCCACCTATCCCTCAAAGAGTGCTGTTTTCCCCCTACACTTAAAGGTTATTCTAATTAATATTGAAGCATAAAGTTCAAGGCCAAGGTAATAAATACTTTTTAAATTAAAAAAATCTTTATTATTTTTAATGAAAAATTACTCATGCTTGTGGAAAAAAGCAAATAACCCCCCTATATATATATATATATATATATAAAACCTAGTCTCTTGAAGTGACCACCACTAAACAGTCTGACATACATCCTTCTAGACATTTCTGAATGAACTCTTTGATAGGTATATAGTAATTGCCTACAATGTTCTGGGCAGTGTGCTGGGTGCTGGGTACTATTGGTAACCAAACACAAATCTATAATGGACATACACATTTCTGTATATCTATCATATGTATTGGCAACACTTCTCAGCCTTTTGGCTAAAATCAAGTGTATCATATATATTGGCAAAAATAAGATAACATTTACTAAACAATATCTTATTTTTCACAGCTAATATGTAGAAATAAATATACATATTATGATTTTTCACAGCTCCATAGTATTCTGGTATAAAGATATGCCAAAATGTTTATTACTTGCATTATGTTATTTTAAAAACCACCCACATTTCCTTTTCTTATAGAATGTTGAAGAACCAGCTTCAAGTATCAGGCTTGAGCAGCAACTGGCACCATCAGGATGGGTGTTCTAGGGTCTATCCCCTGTGTGAGGGTGAAGAGATAGCCAGCTATGAGGGCTGCCCATCAGACTTCTTAACAGGCAGACAAGTCCAGCAGCAGAGACCCAGCATAAGGAGCCCAGCCAGTCAGTGGTATGGCTGAGTGAACACCCAGGCCCTCTGACTTCAAAGCTGCTGCCACCATGGCTTGGCTCCCATTACCCCCTACTGTCCTCATGGTCTCTGCGTTTATATACACACACATTGCTCTGGTATCCTGCGTGCTGCACGGGCTTGTGCTGTAAATTCTGTAGGCTACCTATTAAACAATGGGAAGGGAATGAGAGGAAATAAACTTGAGGTCATGAAATAGGAAGCCAGAGAGGATTCTGTGTGTGCCGGGCGCGGGGGGTGGGGGGTGGGGGGGTGGCGGGGGGCAGGGGTATGGGCAGTAGTCCCCTCTCTGGTTAAGGGCAGCAAACGCTGAGGTTTTAAACAGATGCGGGAGACAGTAAGAAGTTCTTGCTCCCTACTCCTCCCCGTTATCTGCCGGTCTCCTCATTTGAAGCGGCTAATAAGTAAGTAGACTTCACACCAAGTTCAGTCTCTTTCCCAGCAGCGTGGGCACTGAAATCACCAGGAGTCCCGGGCACTCCTCAGCAGTTTCCTAGCTGGGTGGGGAAAACAAAAATGCAGCCTAATTGGTCCCTGGCTCTTTCTAGTGAATGAAGGAGGGTTTTTTTAGTTTTAAACAATTAATCTTTATTTGCATTGTGCCTATTAACAATTGTCCAAAACACATAATATGAAAAATTGTGCTCAAGTGTGCTTCCAAGGCACACCAAGGACAATGCACTTCATGTCTGAGTCTTAGTTTCTATTGTAATTTTCTGTCTGTAAAAGAATAAAATATACAAAATCCCAATGATGAATGTAACTACTGTATACTTAAAATGTACCAATAAAGTGAATAGAAAACAAAGAATAAAATATACCCATTTGGCTTTTTTTTTTATTCTTAAGTTCTTTCATTGGCACATTTTAGGTAACCAATACGTTTACATTTATCATTGGGCGCTTGTACCTGTACATGATGTATCTTGGTTCTTATTTTATTCCCCATTACCTGTGCACCCTTCACCCCCTCCACCCTTCCCTATTTACATAGACCTCATTTCCTATTTTAAAATTTTTCTCATAATTTTTCCTTTCCCTTCTTTCTTTTCCCCTTCCCCTCTCTTCACCCCTGCCTCTTTGGACCTTTTTTCCTATTTCAAATTACCAATTTCTGTTTTAAGAAATAAAGTGACTTAGCTGTTGATTCACTGCCCACAGGGAGATTTCTGAGCTCAGGCTTCCTAGCCTCCGCAGAGATTTGCATACAACTTCCACTTCCTGCTTCAGAGCCTGTTCTACAACTTACCTGGCCCTGGACTGGGCGAGGGAGGTCCAGAACAACCAGAGGTGGAGACAGGAGAGAAGCAGAAAGCACGACCACTTCTGACCGGTCTGTCTGTCCCTGGTGGGTCTAAGGTGAGTGATTCCGCCCTGTCTGATTTCTTAACCACTGACCCACTTTCCAAAACACTGTTTTCTCTTCGCTGAAATGTTCTGCTCCTAATTTCCTCAGCCCTACCCTCTCTCTTCACCCTTAACTTGTTTGTGTGGGGACCAACTTGGGCTGAGCAAATGATAGTAAGTTTCTGCAGCAAGAATGTGTTGCTGGATTAGTATTTTGGGCCAGCAAACTGAGATTTAACTCTTTGAAGAGAGGAAGCCCACACACAGCCGTAATACCAAGCTGTTTGGGAACGGTTCATTTGGCTATTTGCTGGCCCCTCAAGTTTAGATCAAGACTTGAAGCTCCATTTCTCCAAGGAGGAACCCACCATGGCAAAGTTTAAGGACCTGGCTTCCAGCCCTGGTTCATGTCAGTGGTAGAGTGGGAAGGTCAGCTCCCAAATTTTCTCTATCCTGGTCTCATGCAGAGGGAAAAAAAAATCCACACCACATTCTTGGGCCAGGACAGCCCACTCAGTTCTGGGCTGGATGTGAGCCTTCCCTGCCTCCTCTGCAGCCCTGCCCTCCTCAGACTTTTGCAGGCCCTGGACAGAGCATTGCATTGCGGGGTCTCAAGTGGAAAAATGCTGTACTTGGTATTACAAGCTGAACAAGCTTCTTGTGACATCCAGGTTCAAGGTGCTCTCTTCAAATAGGTAGATTTTTTTTTTAAGTGGGAGAAAAATAGGCCAAATAATTTAAAAAGAAGACAGGAATCTTGGATCCAAGTTCTCAGTCTACTTTGTGTGGTTCCATCTCACACAATTCACTTTGGCTCTCCTGGGCCTGGATTTCTTCATCAGTAAAGTGTGTGTGTGTGTGTGTGTGTGTGTGTGTGTGTGTGTGTATACTAGCATGATTATGTCTAAATTCCTTTCTAACCAAACGCGGCTGAGCAGAGGCAGAGGGGTAGCCTTAATGGGTGGTCTTAGAAGACTTGTTTTGCTTACTGGTTATTACCTATATAAATTTTATCTTCTGCTTCTAGTTGGTGAGCCCCTGGAGGAAAAGTGCTTTGTTTCTTAATACTTTTCTAGGTGCCAGAATCTCCCCTACTAGCAAAGAGCATACTGCAAGCCACATACTGGACGCCTCATAGATGCCCCAACTTCTTCCCACATGAGTGTCTTTGATTTCTGTTTCACTCATTTGCTCTCTGGGCCAAAGGTAAAGCAGCAGTCAGGCTGAGCTGTTGGAGGAAGCTGGTTCTGCGGAGGGCTGCTTAGAACTGAGGTGTCATTATTGGTTCTAGCCAGATATGAGGAAATGGAGGATTTCTTGACTTAGTTCTTATCCCAGTTGGGTTTCCCAGGAAGCACTGCCCCCCCATCCATTTGCTCACAGAGTCAAAGGAGGCTGGAGAACTGGCAGGCAAGCTCAGTGCCAGAAATCAGAGACTGACTTAGCTGGAGCAGGAGACATCTCCCAGTGGGACAGTCAGTGTGTGGGGCCTTTAATGGGAGGGGAAAGGAAACAGTGAAACATTACCTCACACCATGTCAGGGTATGACTATGATCAGACTCATTATTAGATGGCAGAGACACAGAATCTTTTCCAAACAGCTGCTTTTAAAAATGTGTTATTGGGGCCGGGGATTTACCTCAGTGGTTCTGGCACCTGCCTCGCAAGCACAAGGATCGGAGTTCGATCTCCGGTACCAAAAAACAAAACAAAACATAAAAATGTGTTATTGTTTCTTTTGGGCAATTTCTTAATGTCAGTACAGTTCCAACAGGCTCTGGCTAACTGGGATGGGCCGATTCAGGGCTTTTGGTATTGCTGAACTTCTGTGTACTATCAAGGCCCTAGTATAATCCTTGTCACATTTTCAGATGTTTCTGTCTAGTCCTCTGGGATAAGAGGACAGGAATTTCAATGTGATTCACCTGTGGTGAGTTCCTGATTTTATTTTCAAATAACAATGCATCATTTTCTGAAATCAGGCTAACTGTTGTTCTGCTGCCAGCCTCGTGTCCACTGTAAAGGCCCCACCCACCACAGTCATTCTTAATCTGGCACTGCCACTCCCAGTTCTTCCATGCCTAGTGTCAGCAGGAGAATGCCACCACTCTGCTCTCTTCCAGGGGTGGGCTAATGAGGAGCAGGGTCTGCTTAATGTATCACAATGTTGGCGGGAAAGCTTCCTAACTCAGGGATCTCATTTTCTGAATATGCAGACAGAAAATGTTACAGCCTGCTTCTACCAGAGCTGAGAAATTAGAGACTTTCAAATGTTCTGAAAATTAAAAGAGAAGAATCATATTTGTAGGCATTTTTTAACAGGCACTCAGCAAGATAGATGATGGTGGGGTAGTTTGTCTAAATTAGATCAATGTTTTACACATCACAGAATGGAAATCTCAGATATATCCTGAATTCAAATCATTTTTCTGCTGCAGGCAATTTTAGATTAGCCTTTAAAAACGTACACATATCAATTGCAGGCAACTGCTGCAGAAAAACAAAAGAACACAGATGAGGCACATTAAACTTTAAATTCCTTTCAGATCCAACTAAATGACCCCTAATATTTGATCACATCTTCTTATCAAAACAATCCAGCAGGCCTTCTGTGAGAAAGCATCTGAGGGCTGGAATCAAGATGCTGTCCCCTGGGTCTCTCCCATTTCTTTCCAGTGCATTGTCACCAAGCTATTTTTAGTTCATGAAACCCAGGCTGTCTTCTCTCTGACATTCATATCTCATGCCCAGCCAGCCTCCTGGAGCATGCGAGTACTCAGTGGCCTGGCTGCTCAGCTTACTCTGCCCTTGTGGACCCAGAGGCACACACAGACCTTCCTGGAGAATGGGAGTTGTACATGATGATGAAGGGTGGCCTTGCATGCACCCAGTAACCCTTGGAGCTGTGACAATTTGACTTGGTTCCCTGGTGAGGCAGCTGAAATCAAGCACATGGACAGGGATGGAACTGACTGGAGCCCTTGCCTTTGTGCCCCCTCAGCACCCCACAGATGTGGGCTGCTTGGGGCACTGGCAAGTCCCTCAGTGAGGAAAGAAATTTGGCGGTCCTCTGCTACCTTGTTGTCCTGTGCCCAGGGTCAGTAGGTCTCACTCATGTCCCTGAACTTTCTTCCTACTCTGAGCTGTCTGCCCACACTCTTCCTGGTCACTGGCCTACCTCATCATGCTCTGACCTTTTGGCTGGATTCAGACTTTCCCTTCTTGCAACTAATGCTTCTCATATCCATAACATATACAAACTACAAGTCTCCTATACCCAATTGAGGGCAAATTAAAAATTTCCCTCAGGAATTTCCCACTTCCCTTACTTCTCTCACTTCCACACTGCTCTCTGCCTTTCCATCCCTTCCTTTCCTTTAGTCTGTGGTAAGGACTGAATTAGGGATTGCAAATGTGTGCTTAGGGAAGCTGTTTTATCTGAAAGAAAAAAAAAAGACAGTGGCAACAGAAGAACACAGGCTAGTTTGCAGTTGTTCTCTTAAGTGTTTTTTACCAGCTTCCAAAGTAGCAGTCAATCTGTTCTCATTCATTCCTCTCCATTCCCCCTTCCAAAGCAGCTTACAGGAGTCCTAGTTCCTTCAGCTGGGTCAGCCCTGCTGCATTGTGCGCAGCCTCACATGAGAATTCCTGTGCAGCATTATGTTCAGGGACCTGTCAATGGTCCCTTGTCTCTAGGGCTCCCATTACTTCAAATCCTTTCACAACTTATGGAAGAAATCCTTGGATGGGAACATTCTACAAGTAAAGTTTGTAGCATTTGTTCACAGAAGTTTGAATCTGATCCAAGTAGTTCACTCAAAAGCAACCTTCTGGGTGGGGTGGTACATGCCTGTCATCATAGCTACTCAGGAAGCTGAGGGAGGAGGACTTCAAGTTTGCAGCCAGCCTGGGCAACTTAGTGAGACCCTATCTCAAAATAAAATTTTAAAATAAAAAGGGCCAGGGATGTAGCTCATTTATAGTGCTTTCCTAGTGTGTCCAAGATCCTGGGTTCAATCCCTAGTATAACAACAATTTCCACTAGGTGAACCAATATTATGGAAAGTCCACATGCATTTGGGCTGTGAGCAAAGAACATTAATGAGTACTCAAATTTTAGGTTTTAAATTCATGTCTTTAAGACATATTAAAAGAAATTAATCTCAGGGAATTAAATAAGACCTTAAAATCTAAAATTGAAAGTATCTGACCCAAATTGGATCTGAGGAGCCTCCTAACTATAAGTTTATATACTTATTTGTTCTATTCACCTGAAATAGCCATGCTGTGAATTTATTGGACCCTTCAGCCCTATTATTGATCCATCCAAAAATACTAAAAAAAAAAAATACGACCAGTTGGTGAACATCCACCCTTGATTATCTGGGAGCTGTTAATGTGGTTTATTAATTACTCAGGCTACTCACTCCTGGCCTTCCCCTGTTCCTCGCTCTGCTATCTGTCTTTTTGCAGGGACAGAATACCTTCATTAAGTCTCAGCCGTCCTTGCTTCAGAGGCGTCCCTGGAAGATATCCCCTCTCCAGATGCATCGCCATTTATCATCACCTTTTGTTTGTGCTCTGTCAACAAGTTTTCAATTTATTTTGAATTCAGTTTATGATTAAAATTTAATGAGATCCAATCAAGTGCTTTTCTCAAATCAAGATGCCGCTGCAGTGTCACCGTATCCTCTGTTATAGGAGCATGAAGGAAGTTTTCAGGCCTGGCAGTGCTTTATAGAACACAGGTGACATGTGCCCACTCCCCTCAGTGTCAAGGTGAATCATTCTGAAACATGCTTATTCCAGAAGGTTCTAGGAGTTCTGTGCTTTCCTTGTCCCCTTTCTCCCAAATAGCTGTACTTGTCCATCCTCCCAGCTAGGATATAAGCAATTCAGTGCACAGGCTCTGGGCCTGGATTGCTTGGATTTCAATCCCAGCTCTGCTACCTAATAAACTTGTGATCTTGAGAAAGCTACTTAACCTCCCTGTGTCTCAGTTTCCCCATCT